TTTGTTTGTTTTGTTTTTGCATATGGAATCTCACTGTGTAGCCTAAACACAAACCTCAGACTCTTGATCCTCTTGTTTCACTCTCAAATACTGGGATTCTAAGCATGCATCACCATAACTGGATTATATGCATGATTCTTAACCATGTTATGATTTTTAAAAATTGAAAAATGCAATCTATTTTTATAATGAAAACTATAGACATGGTAGTTATAGGTATGCAAGTTTTATCAAAAGGTAATAGATTTTTAAAAGGCTGAGAAATACTTTTAAACACACTCTATTCATTATTTTAATTATAAAAAGTCTCAATCAGGGTGGTTTCCTCCACAGAACATCTGTTAACATAAAGTTAAAAGGCTTCTACCTCTGTCAGGCTCAGTTTTCTCGGTATAGCAGACCTCTTAGAGCTTTCAATGATACAAACAGCCAGCTGCGGCATATGTGTTATAGGTTTGCCACCACTGTACTTATTTCCACTTTAAATTTCTCAGTGGAAGGCAGCATGGTGGTATAGTACATACCTGTACTGTAATCCTACCTACCAGGGAGGCTGATTCATCAGGATCATAAGTTCAAAGCCAATTGAAGCAACTTAATTAAACTCTATCTCAAAATTTAAAAAAAAAGAGTTAGGCATGGTAATTCATGCCTGCAATCCCAGAATTCAGAAGGCCGAGGCAGGAGGATCACTATGACTTTGAGATCAACTTGGGCTACGTAGTGAGTTCAAGGCCAGCCTGAACTACATAACAAAACCCTGTCTCAAAAAAAAAAATCTAAAAAGAAAAATAAGTAAAAAAATAAAAATGGCTAGGAAAGTAGTTCTTGGACTTAACAGTATAAGGAAGAAACAAACAAACAAAAAATACCTCCGTGTAAGTTAAGAGGGTTAAAACATTATAATCAAGGTGAAAATTTGAAAAATAGTAAAACTTGCCTGTGGCTGGTTATTACTAATCTCCTTCTGAAGGTTTTCCTCAGAGATTGAGGGCCCGCCAGGGTTTTCTTGGGGGGGGTCCTTCACGTGAGCACAGAGCTTTCTGATAATGAGGACTGTGGAGCACACATAGTGATAAAATTCTCACCTTCCACCTCCACAGGGTGGTGATAGTAAGAGATGGTAACACTTATGAAATGATGTTCTTACGAGACTATTTAGGGGTGAGAGAGAAGACCAAAAAGGTGGCAATTATTACTAAAAGACACCTGTCACTGAAAGAACGATTTTCCTCTTTCTCTCCCTCTCTGTCCCTCTCTCTCTGTCCAGTGCAGGGCATGGGACCTAGAAACTCTCGGGGACTGGTCAAGAGCACTGGGCTACACCTCACAGGGTAAACTCTGAGACCAGATGGTAGCGCTCTGGAGTAAATGGGTGTATTCGGCATGGAGCTGCTGTTCTTCAGCCACTTACATGCGCATGGAGCCTGAGGTATTGGGATGTTTTCAAGTCAAGTCATGTTTGTCTGGTGCAGATAAATAAGCAAAAGTCTTGTATAGCCATTGGCTTGCTGAGAACAGTGATGAGAACGGCACTGAAGGACTTCGCATTTTTGGAGCTGCTTTCTGGAGTCCTGGTTCATGAACAGGCTCTTTTCATCTGAGTCCCAGGGGCATTATCCCAATGTTTTGTAAACAGTCAAAAGTGCCTTCCTATCCTGAGTCAGGATAGGAAAACTAAGATAGGTAGAAAAGGAGATGAGAAAAATTATAATTTTAAAATTGCACTTTTAATCAAAACTACAAATTTAGGACACAGAGCCAGTAAAAAATTCCTAAGACCCTTAAAGACACAATATACCTGGGTCATTCCCTTTTGCCTGTAAATAAACCTTTTCCACCTGTGAATAGAACATCCCTTTTCACCTATAAAATGGGCCTTTCTCTATGATGGGCTCCATCTCTGTCACCTGTGATGGCTTTCACCAACGGTATGAATAGGCCATCACCTTTCTCCTGCAGAAAGGGCTGTCACCTTTCATCTGTAAATTGAATCCTTTTTTTTCATAGATTCACAAGTTCCACAGGTTTCCACCCTCAAAGTCCCCATAAATATACCCAGCCCCAGAATATAATGTACCTCTTCCTTGAGGGTACTCCACACTATGTCTTTGAGTGTGTACTTTTAAAATTCTGCCTAAAAAACACACTGATGAGATGCACCCTAAATATTCTTTTTCTATGATGGAAGTCAGTGAACTTGCAACATATCCTGTGAGCAGAGGGGACAAGGGGACGTCTTTGGACAGTGTCCTGTGACACCTACTTGCTAGATATGGTGGCGAACACCTATAATCCCAGCTACTCAGATGGCTGAAGCCAGAAGATTGCAAGTTTGAGGCTAGTCTAGGCAAGTTAGTGAGATCCTGTCTCAAAATTTTTAAAAAGGCTAGGAACAGAGCTTGTGATAAAGTGCTTGCTTCACACATGTAAGGCATAGAGGTTAGGCCCTCTAAAACCTCAAAAAAAAAAGTGCATCCAGCTTTATAAAATAATTCAATTAGCAAATAAGGCACCAGGAGTCACATTAGCCAATGAAAATAGCCCTCTGTATTACATTAGACCTAACAGCTTTGCCCAGAAGGTATTTGACAAGTTGAGGCATTCTGTGGTATCTGTTTATAGTGTCTTCCTGCAACGATTCTCACGTTTTACCTGGCTACTTCCTAACTTTTCTCCAAGTGTGATTTTTACAACCTGATTTAAGCAGTTTATGGGTTTACATTCAAAGGCACTCTTTTTTTAAGCAACAAATATACTACTTTCATTCTCCCACTATGATTACAAAATTGAGGAACCTACTGGGATTTTGTTTTGTTTTATTCATTCAGGGATTGAACTCAGGACCTTGCCCTTGCAAGGCAGGCAGTGGTACTACTGAACCAAATCACCAGCCCCAAGAAAAGCCAGTTTTTGATAAAGCACTGTTAATTTGTTTTTATGCTAAATGTATATATAGAGAGTAGATTCTTTCCAGTGACCTGGTGAGAAATATCTTTTCACTTCACAATCAGTGTGAAAGGATGTCTTACTTCTATGCCAGTTGTCTTTGATTTTCCTGGTCTTCATGATCATATTACATTCAACTGCCTGAATATTTACTATAGTAGAATAAAGCAGTTGGAGTCTTTCCTTCCCTGGTTTCCAAAGTGGAACCCTTGACTAAAATAAGTATACTTATTGGAAGCACTAGCTGAGCTTCATGAGAGGTACAGATGACAACTTAAATTTTTTAATTACCCTGTACCTACGGAGAAATATATGTATCATACACAGCACAGTAGGTTGTGCTCTAGAAGGCAGACATGTTTATAGATATCCCTACATCTTTCCTTTCCCCCAAATGCTATTTGGGGTGGGGTACCAAGGACTTTGCACTTGCAAGGCACATGCACAGGTACCACTGAGCTAAATCCCCAGCCCCCACAACCCCCACAATGCTATTTCAATCAGTGCCACTCTCCGCTATAGAGAACTATCATAAATCATCTTACAGTACAGATACCATATTCTTTTTTTTTTTTTGGTACCAGGGATTGAACTTGGGTCCTTGTGCTTGCAAGGCAGGCAACCAAACCACTGAGCTAAATCCCCTTGATACCATATTGTTAATTTTATTTCAGTGAAAACTTTTTGTGTGTGGTACGGGGGATTGGACCCAGCGCTTTTGTGCTGAGCTACATTCCCAGCACTCTGACCTTTTAAAACTTTGAGACGGGGACTGGAGATGTAGGTCAATGGTTCTGCCGCCTGCTTTGTAAACACAAGGTCCTAAGTTTGATCCCTGGTACCTGCCCCCCAAATAAAGTAAAATTTTGAGACAGGGTCTTGCTATGTGAGAAAGTTGACCAGGCTAGGGGCTAGCTCACAATCCTCCCTCAGCCTCTCACAGTGTTAGGATTACAGGCCTGCACCATTATGCCTGGCTTTTAGTAAAACTTTGGCTTTTTTGGTTTTTTTTCCCCTAGGCTTGGAGTCTTTGAGGGTACACCTAGATCAAGACAGCTTTTGCTTTAACAAAATCTAGTTAATGTTTTAGAGCCCAAGGACAATTTCACAGTCATTTGAGGCCACGCGTATACTCATTATTGAATACGTGCTTTGGTTTCTTAGCATAGGACAGCTGGACTGAAACCTTTTTGCTGTCTCAGGGAAAAGATTCACAATATGTATTCTTAGGAATCCTTCCTAGAAGTATAAAAATGAATTCAGAAATATTTAAGTTTGGGTTTTTTTTTAAACAAGGTCTTACTTTGTAGTTCAGGTTGTCCCTGAACTCAGTATGTAGCCCATGCTGGTTTTGAACTTGTGGCTATCCTCCTGCCTCAGCCCCCGAAGTGCTGGGACTACAGGTGTGCGCTACCATGCCTGGCAGTATTTGAGTTTTAAACTTTTATGTTTATGGTAATTGAGACTCTACCTGAATGAAGTGCCAAATGGTGAACCAACTTTATGTAATATGGCCATACTCCTCTGATGTAGTAGATAGCCATTCTAAAAGGAAGTTTAAGAAACCTTAATTGCCTTGCCATATTTGGAGAAAACTGATGAACACAGTGTAACATTTAACATGGATGTAAATACGTAACTGCTATACAACTGTCAACTAATCTTCAGATTGTTTAGCACAGTATGGACTAGTTTCTGCTGCCAACTGGAAAGTAAAAATTTAGTCATGGTCTGGGGATGTGACTTAGCATAATAGAACACTTGCCTAACATTCTTGAGGCCCCGGGTTCATCCCCAGCTCCACATGGAGGGCAGACAGAGGCAGAGACAGAGAGAAATTTATTTAAGTCACAAGGAGAAATCAACAGAGATATTTTATTTCTGAGTTGATCATGACTGTTGATTTGGAAATCAACTTCTTAAAACATTATGACTTAATATACAAATAATTCTGATACTTCTGCAGTGAAGTTGCTACATAATGAAAATTCATTCTTCAAACTAAATAGTTTTCAGAAGCCTCTTGTCTTTCCTGTTTCTAGCACATAGCTTCATTTTTTGGACACATCGAAGAATCGAGGTCTAATGTAATCCTTATACATAGAATAGAGGACACCTAGAAAGAGAAAGATGCACATCAATAGGCTTTTCATGGGATGCAGACAGTGAATTTTTTCCTACTTGTATTTTTCTGAACTTAGCCCACAAGTTTAAAATAAAGCAACAGAAGCATTCTCTTAATATGTTTTGGCTTGGATCATACAAATGGCCCCAGAAGTAAATCAGTCAACAAAAAACCCAGTAGTCCTGTTTAGTCACTATCGTTGTGAGTTTATGCTGTTATCACCCTGAAGTTTGAACTTTACAATATTGGTAAAATGTTAGGAAAGTGAACAAATTTGACCAGATACTAAGATTACAAACAATAGTCATATTAATTTGGCGAACATTTATTCAATGTCTCTTTGTGTTCAGTACCAGGAAAATGAAAGTGAATGGATCTAATCCCCCTTCTAGTGATTTACAAGCTAGAGGGTAAATTAGCTGTGAGTGTAGGTGGATATTGCCCCACAAAGTCTTAGGGGCAAGCTAAAGAGAAAAGCAGCCAGGGAAGCTAAGCTGAAAAAAGGGGAGATGATTCTGTTAGCAAATGCTCACTCCCAAAAGCAAGTTGAGGAGCCAGAGATTTAAGCTGTAACTGATACCCACTTCTGTCAGTGATCAAGGCATCAGCTATTTGTCATTGCCTAAACCGGATCTTTCACTTTTCTTCTGAGTTCTTTCTGTGACTTCTTGTTACTATTTTCATAAAGTGAAGATGATAGAAGGTTATTAAGTTGCTCTCATATCTCCACGTCACAGCAAATTGAGGCAGAAGTCTGAATAATTTCCTAATGAACCAGTATTTTAACTAAAGTTATATCTAAGATTCCAAGTCTCAAATTTTAAAATTTTGAATTATTATATCTATAGAAATAGTATTCTCAGATTCAGAGGGAATTCTAGGACTCATTACCCTATCATTTGGCTTATTAGACACAGACAGTTGTTACCTCTTATCTACCTCCTGTTTCTGTTCCCTGAAGTTATGACTTCAACTTTGTTCCTATCTCATTCATACTTGTTGCTTCCCTGATAAGCAAGTTAGATTTCCTTCTGAGTGTGAGGCCCATGTATTTATTATTGTATCTATAGCATTTTTACATCCCTTATGCAGGTAATACTCATCGTTTAAAATGTACATAAATAAACATATTGAGCATACTCTGAATTGCATATTAAATTTTAAACAGTAAAATATACTATTTTCAGTCCATGTATTAATAATACTTTTTATTACATTTATTTTCATTTGGTTTAGACTTAGTGTCACTGGCCTTGTATTTCTGGACTCAGGCAGTCCTGCTGCCTCAGCCTCCAAAGTGGCTTGGATTACAGACCTAGGCAACTGTGCTTGGCTAGCTTTTTTAGTTTTATTGCAGGACATTTTCTTTCCATACCTCCATGGATCTCCTTATTCATGGGGTGTGAGTATTCTAATTTGGAGATATCTCCCATGGGAATTTCAATCAATATAGTATAAAATTAAGGGCTCAGAGCTGGAGATTCCTGTGGGATCATGAATAAATGACTTTTTCTCTTAAGCCTCAGTTACCTTATCTATAAAATGGTATAACTGTAGTTGCCTTAGAGGATGGATTTGTATGTGTAAAGGGTTTGTCTGGACTGTGAGTGTAGCTCAGTGGTAGAGCACTTGCCTAGCACGTACAAGGACCTGAGTTCAATCCACAGCGTAGTAATTAAATAAATAAATGTTACTGGTCTTTCTCCTGGGTTCTTTTAAAATGCATAGAGATTCCAGAGCTACCAGTGTCTCTGGTATTCATGAGCACCTTGGATCGTACCAGAGCTCAGACTGATGAAAAAGAAGCTGGCATCTGAAGTGTGAGCAGTGTTGTCAGGGCCTGGGTTCCTGAACTTGTGGGACTGATGTGGGCAGCTCCAGGTAGTGTCGATATTGAACTGTTTAATGTATTTAAATATATTCTGTTAAATTATTAAATAATTTATTATTTAATATATCAGGTGGTATCAAATAGATATTTATTTAAATTAAATGAGATAATGATATATAAAGCAGTTAGAGTGAGTACACATCATAAGTACTCATTAAATATTAGTAATTCTTGTTTTATTTTATAAATGTTCATCCTACCACCAAAGCTGCTATTTGATCTTCATTCTCTATATTAGTGAAAGGCAAAACCTTCCATCTGTTTTTTTGTTTGGTTGTTTTTTGGTACTGGGCATAGAATTCAGGACCTTGTGCTTGCAAAGCAGGCAGCAGAACCACTGAGCTAAATCCCCAACTCACAAAACCTTCCATCTGTACAAACCAAAAACTTGGGGACCATCTTTTTTTTTTTGTTTTTTTTTTTTGTTACCAAGGACGGATCGAACTTGGGACCTTGTGCTTGTAAGGCAGGAGGTGGAATCACTGAGCTAAATCCCCAGCCCTTGGGGATCATCTTTGATTCCTTTCCTTCCTCTTCGCAGTCACTTAGTGACCAAGTCCTCAGCATTTCTGGAATCCATCTCTTCTCTGCTTCTACTGCCACTGCCTTAATTCAGATCTAATTCATAGTCTAAGTGGTTTTTACTATCTATGTTTTCTTCTCCTTTGTAAGTCACCTTTAAGCATTTTCTTTGTCGTTTTTGGGTTTTTTTTTTTTTTTTTAAGACAAGTCTTGCTTAGTCGCTGTCCTAGAATTCACTATATAGGTGAGGCCAGCCTTGAACTAGTGGTAATTTTCCTGCCTCAGCTTTCTGAGTGCTGGAATCACAGGCTGTGTGCCACCCCACCCAGTTTTCCTTTTCCTCTTTAACTTTGTTTTCCATGATGAAATACATGGAGAATTGTACATAAAATTTGAATTACAAGATTAACAAATAGTTGTAGAGTGGACACATGAAATTATTAAGGGTCAATAGACTGTCGCAGACATGTGAGAAGCATTCTGAGTTTCTTTGTTGACCACAGTCCCCCTCTTTTCCACATTTAACCACTATTCTGGGCTTTAGAGCAATCTTTTTCTTCCTTGTCTCAATAGTTTAGCCATCAATTTATCCAACAGCTTTATAGTGCCTGTTCTGACCTTTCTGCAAAGTAGATATCATTCTAAATCACCAATCAGATAGGCAGAGTCATAGCTTCTATACATTGTTATCTCCTGCCTTAGCTCACTGTTGCTTGGCAGCAGCCAGGTCCACAGTTTCAAGGGGTCCTTGACCTGCTGTGGTGTAGCTCCAGGTTTACATCTCCCATGAAGGGAGGAAGAGAGACTGGTCCAGGTTTTCATCTGCCTTTTGGGGTTTCAGCTTGTCCTTGCAAATTCCAGTTTGTCTTTCTTTTCCAAGTATTGCACTGCTGACTTGAGGACTCAGTATTAGAAATATGAGCAGCAGCTTCACATGGACTGTTTAGCTATTGCCCAACGTTGTTTAATGTCATGTCTCTACAATAAATCCACTTTTATATATCACACCATTAGCTTTTCCTCCTGACTGAAACTTGGCTGATCCAGAATGTGATTTGGATAGGAACAGAACCATGAGGATTGGTTTGCTGTATTGGCTCTTGGCTACCTGGAATTTTTTTTTTAATCGGATTACCTTTAGAGGCATAAATGGCCCTTTTTCAGTGATAAAGAGATAGTAGAGCCACAGCACCCAGTAGCAAAACATTAACACCTGTAGATATTTTAATCAAGTGCCTATAGAAAGCCAGATTTGGGGTAATCAGGTATTTATTGCCAAAGAACATCTGATGGAAATAAGGAATGTAATGAGTTTAATGCTGCTAACTATGCCACAGAACTTGGGGAAAGAAAATAAAAGGCCCAGGATTTAATTCCTAGCCCAAATCCCATGAGGTGACTGAAGCCTTTACGACTTCCCAAAGAGAAACTGTGAGCTCCTACAGCTATGAAGCCACTATTTTTGAAAACCACACACAGCGTCTCAGCTAGCAAGCAGCTAATCACAGCACAAGTTCAATTTACAATTTTACAGTCTCTTATGCTAACATTACAGCATAGCTCTGGAGGAAGCAGAACCTTAAATATTGGGATGGGGACTTCTGGACAGACATCAGTGCAGTGGGCCCTTGAACCCACGTGTCTTACCAAGACTCCTTTGCAGAAGAAGCAGCCCTTCTTTCCTTGTCAAGAATAACTGAAACTGAAACTAAAAAGTAACCTCACTCAATGAAGATGAAATACTAGATTTCCTCGGTAGACCTATAGTGGCCATCCAGGGTAGTTTGTTCTTGAGGGAAATCTGGTAATGTCTGGAGATGTTTTCATTTGACACACAGCGGGTGGGAGGTAGGAGAGAATTCTCTGGCGTCTAGAATGTAGAGAGCTGAGGTGCTGCCAAATACCCTGCAATGCGAGCACAGCTGTCTCAGAAAAAGTATAATCTAGCCCCAAGTGCCATTGGTGTCGAGTCTGAGAAACTGCCAAAGGAGTGTCGGAGTGAATGTGTCCTGCTTACTCACTTCCTGGGTGTAGAAACTCCCTTCACCAAGGTTGTTAGAAATGCATTTTTGAAGGTAGTCCTGGCATCCTTCATGAGTTCTATGGTAACTGTTCTCTGCCTCAGAAATGAGTGTGAACTGCTGAGATCCCTGAATTCAGTAGGTTTAAGGATATCCTGGTATTATAGGGCGAAATGGCAGCACTGAATTTTCAAAGGCAGGGAAGCTTTGATTATTGTAATGGGACACAGTGAATAAGCAGTATTCTGAGTAGTTCAGGCCACTAGATTTAGCAGGGGGGTGGGTACTGAGGATTGAATCCAGGAACTTTGCACTGAGATACGTCCTACAGCCCTTGCCTTTTGTTTTGAGACAGGGTCTTGCTATGTAGTTCAGGCTGGCCGGGAACTCACTAGCTAGCCCAGGATGACCTCTAATTCATAGAGATCTTCCTGCCTCAGCCTCTTGAGTGCTGGGATTACAGATGTGAGCTGCCACAATTGGCCATCCTACCCCTTTTTATACATTCCTATTTTGAGACAGGGTCTCCCTAAGTCACTAAGTTGCCCAGGCTGGGC